GCTACCTCCGAGAGCATTATCCTATTCTGTTATCATTTTATCACTTCGTATTATAAAGCGGGCTTTAGCATAGGTTTCAACATGTATAAATAGGACAGGATTCTGCGATGACTTGAGGCATCATCAACCATCAAGTCAAGAGAATCCGGTTTACAATATCATCAGTTTAAATGCTACAGAACTATCGCTTAGCACTGGCCATTTCTCCAAACAAATACTGTTTGGGTTAAAGATCCCGATAATTTCCTTGCTCTTCGGTTTGTAGATGGTAAAGCCATTTTGTGTCCCTGTTGTGAATTCCTTTTTGGCAAGGTAATAACAAGACATGAGGTTGTTGCTGGTATTGTCAGATTCTGGGATCAAGAATACATTCTGCAGAGTGAACAGGCCATTTGATATGTTGATTGCGACATTGCCAATTCCGGTTATTTTAAGTTTGCGGCCACTTCCAACAGTGATTGTTCCAGTGTGAGGAGAGGGATTGATAACTTGTATTCCAGAAATATAGTTGGTTGCGCCAGGATTGAAAATCCATGCCTTGTTATCGGAAGTGGAAGGTCCAACAATGAAGTCAAAGTAATCTTCCATGTTTATATCCAAGTTGTCATCTGAGAAGTTGATGAGATCGAAGTCAACCGGCATTGTAAATACATTGGTTTCTTCAAGTATGGAAAGGCCAGAAAGATCAGGGATACAAAGGAGGTCTAGTTTTGTGTGAAATGTAGTACTGTACTCGACGTTGAGGTTGCTAGATTCAGCAGACTTCTCCTTATCTCTGAAAGCTTTGAATTTCTTGCAATTTTGTGCCTGTGGCCATTTGCATATTCTCCATTCTTAGTGCACCAGGTGCATGTGACGTCCCAATTTTCTGTTTTGTTGTTACTTGTGTTCCTGACATTGTTTTTGTTTCCATGTCCTTGGTTTCTTCGACTGATTGTGTAGGCTTCCCCAGCTGCTTCTCATTTATTTTTGCGACGTGAGTACATATCCAACAGGTTTTCATAAACATTATCGAATTTGATTTTGAGCTTGGTTTCCAGCTTGTTTATTACTGATTCGAGGTATTTGTGCCGGAGTGAGAGTAGTAGGAAGGATGCTTTCGATTCTGAAACAGATGCGAGGTGCTGAAGTTGGTAACCGAATGGGTCCTTGGTTTTGTTTGTAGAGTTGCTTGTTTTAGTCAGGAGTGATGACCAAAGAGTGTTGAACTAGGTGTTTCTTGATACCTTTGTCAGGCGTATACTGTAGCATGATGACCTTAATGAAGAGTGAGCGGATGGAGACAACGGTTTTCCGATTGAATCTGTCCTAAAACTGAATTCAGAGGTGGTAAGTGGTATCGGCATGTGTGAGCATGAGAGTAACATCGAATTCGATATTAGATTGAAGGAATACAACCGCGAGGTTGTTCTTTTTGTCCCAATTGCTGATTTCCCAGCGTTATCTGAGGTTTCTTCTTCATTTCCCTCAGCCTCTGCTGTCCTACCTGTTGCTTGTGGTGCCGTTGTAGGTATAGTAGTGGTGGTGTTGGTCAACATGGGATACTTACTTGAACCATTAATCAAGTTCCACAGATCATGAACTTTCAATATGCGGGTAGCAAGGTCTCTCCATACAGTGTAATGCCCTTGACCGTCCAGCTTGTATTGAAGTGTGGGAATTTTGATGCTCCTCTCAGACATGTTTGAAAGTGAAACGAGAAAGTGTACTTGTTGCTAAAAATGGTAAAGAGTGTATAAGCGTGAGTGGTCCCCAGGCTCATAACCTGCAGAAAGTATGTAGGAGAAGTAAAGTACTTGATCGTGTTGTTTTTGTTCTAGTTAAAGGGGAATGCCCCATATTTATACTAATGAAAGGTGGTACAAAAGAAATAGAATGAGTCATGGACGTGTAAGTAAATAGAATGACTAACGGAAAAATGAGTCATAAACCGATGACAAATAGTATAATGAAATGATTGGAATCCTCCAATACTATGAACCGTGCCGGACACCCTATTTCAAGAGGTATTAGTGGTATAGTGCAAGGCCTACAGTACGAGGTTATAACTCAGACGAGATGCAGAGAGAAGGAGGCTCTTCGAAGACAGAATATGGAAGACTTTCATTCCGGTATGTCCGGAGACACGGATACTACTAGTAGTTGTTTCCTGCCTAAACTCTTTACTGGTGGGGGAATAAGATGATCCTCTTGCCTACCTATATATGGGAATCACCAAAATAAAATACATGGAAATCCACAGTTTGAGACAAAGAGGGACAGGAGAGTGGTTTCTGAAGTGCCCTGAATTCTGTGAGTTTGACAAGGAGAAGCCATATGGATCAATGCTATGGACTCACCGTATCCGTATGTACATTCAGGCCTATGCGCCATCATCTATCAATGTTTACCATGAAGTTAGGCTTGTGTACAGCGGTGGGTAATAAGTGATCAGACAGAACGTCACCAAAATACACGTTTGCAGCCAAAATTGTGGCTAGGTTGTCCGATGACTTAATACCCACCGCTGTACATTAGAAGTGATAGCTGGCAGGTACTGTCATTCTAGCCGGTGCTGGAAGGACCTACATCACGTATGTTATACCCTTTGCGCCAACTCTACTGTGCTTTGATATCACTAAACCGATCTCTTGATAGCTCTGTTGTTATCGATGAACTTCAGAGTTTGGAGTCGGATAATACGTCATTCCCTACGTATCCTTCGAGGAAATACACTAACAAAAGCCTACAACTCTTCTTGCGAGTCTCGTCAAGCAACTGGTTTCTCAAGCTACTCGAATACCTTCTCCCATCGAAGTATTACATGAAAGTTTGGAGAAGGATATCCGAAAGGCAAATCAGGATGAGTTACACGACGCTCTCATGACGTTGCTCTCTTCCTTCTCTCGTGTATTCCTCGTCTTCGATGGCTTGAATGAATGTCAAGCAGAGAACCAGCGAGACCCTCCTTTACTATTGAATTATATGAAGCATGATCGTTTTAATATATTCCTAACCAATCACCCACACTCGGGAGATATTAACGTGTCCCTCGTAAACACCCCAGAGATCGAGATATTAGCAAGGGATGATGACATCAAGCTTTACGTAAACGACAAACTGGGTGAGCATCCGCAAGCAAATAACCTCATACAGGGCACCCAATGCCACGAATTAGCCTCCTCTTTCAACCGACTGTGTACTCAAGGAATATAAGTGCCCGATCAGTGCACCCCCCCCCCCCCCTCCACACTTAAGTGCATAGTTTTTGAAAAACTCAAAGCAAAAGTTTTACTGATCTCTTTCAGACTCTTGCTCGTCAGTTTTTATATCCACCATTTCTGCCAGCAGACAAGCCAAGCTGCGATCCTGGATACTCTCCAACAACTGAACATGTCAACTAGCAGAGAAACTCCCAAACCTCGAAACTTAATATATGAAAAAGCAATGCAAACCATCAAAGCTCAACATGAACATCGCAGAAAGTTAGCGTTCAAGGTTCTGTCATGGCTTATAAATGCCAAGCGCACATTCACTTCGAAGAGTTCCAAGTAGCTGTCTCAATCAAGCCCGGCGAACAGCACACACCCAACAGAGTGGCCTTGCCTAATCGAACAACACTGCTTGGTGGTTGTGCCGGTCTTTTAACAGCCGACGAGTTTACCAGGACCGTCCGACTCGTTCACTATACCGTGCAGGAATACCTTGTTAGCCACTCCTTGCTTCCAAAGGATATGGATCTCCAACTTGCTATTGCCTGCACAACATATACCTCGTCGGATGCTTTTGCTCAAGGTGCTTGCACATCAAATCTAGACTATCAATCCCGAGTCCAGACTTATCCCCTTCCTGGAATACGCAGCCCACTACCTATCCCTCCACCTTAAAGTCTGCGATCAGAACACAACTACTCCCTTTGTTCACAGATTTCTCGAGAGCCAGAACAATATTAAGTACTTCCAACAAGTCTGCATCTTGACGGCAAACCCTGGATATTATTTCAACAGGTATCTGAAACGTATGGCCCTACTGCATTTGGTAGCCAACATAGGGCACTATATGATAACTAAACAACTTCTGAAGGAGGGGGCAGATATCTGCGCCATTGACAGTGACAAGCGAATGGTGTTACACTGTGCGGCAAGGTAGAGTCATGAACGGATATCTTGCCTGTTAACCGAAAGGGGAGCTAGGATTTCGGAGATGTACCGCAACGCATTATACAAAGCAACAAAAGAAGAGCGACAAGTTTTGATCCGGTTCCTAACTCAGAATAAGCGACTAAGCAAGACGAGGAATTCAGCATTCCAAGCCGCGATCTGACTACTGGTAGGAAAAAGAAGCTATATCTTCGCTGTGGATTGTGACGGGAAGACAGCATTGCATTGGGCCGTAGAGGGGGGGCGTATTACAGGAATCACGGGACACTGTTCTAAAAGACGAAGGACAGTGTGGAGTGCGAGTGATGGGTTGTGATACAAAGACAGTTGGGTAACGGAAGGACAAGCATAGAAAGATATCGGGTAGTGTGGATGCACATAGTGCTACCACACTAGTATTAGGCTATTGTGATGACACACTTACTATTGGGTGTCTCACCCGGACAGAATAGAAACGGGGCTTATAGCTGCCCGCTGTTCTACTTAGGGAAGTATGTCTAGGACAATAGTATGATACAGCCCGATGACTGGTAATTGCAAGGTTCAGGTTTACGTGTCGGAATTAGAATGGAGGACGTAACTATGCAGGGGCGCTTTTCTATCTGGGTTATCTTTGGGGGCGTTATGTTATTATCGTATTAATAGATAGTATTGTAGAGAGGGCCTTGGCATAGCCTCAAACATGTATAAATAGGGTAGGATTCTCCGAAGGCTTAGAGGCATCATCAGCCAACAAGTCAAGGGAATCCGGTTTACAATATCATCAGTTTAAAACGCTCCAGAATTATCGCTTAGCACTGGGTATTTCCCCAAACAGGGCGTGAGGCAGTTCTCAATCTATTGATCGCTAGAGGGGGCAACATGAGAATTAGGGACAATTATGGGAGGACACCATTGCACAGCGCAGCCGGAAAGGGGCGTGATCCTCTTGTCCTGCTAATGGTTGAGAAAGGAGCGGGCATCGAGGCCAAGGATCATAGTGGACAGACACCACTCCAGCTGGCCTCCGCTGCAAGGCATGCATCGGTGGTTCGGACATTGATTGGGAAGGGAGCTGAGATCATAGCCCCCGCCAAGAGTGGACAAACTTCATTGCACAACGTAGCATTCAATGGCCATGAAGAGGTGATCAAGGCTCTGGTGGAGGAGGGAATCGATATCAATATCTTGGACCATGATGGAGATCCACCATTACACAACGCAGTGGTAAAGGGATATCTAGAAACCACTCTGTTGCTAATCAAGCTCAGCACCAGTATTTCGATTAAGAATCAAGATGGCCAAACAGCCTTGCACTGGGCGGCGCATAGCGGGAGTGAGTCTGTGACCCAGACCCTCATAAACCTTAGACCCGACATGATCTCGGCAACGAACGTCGACGGTAAAACACGATTACATTGGGCAGCGTATAGGGGGAATGCGGGATGTGTCAGATTGCTAATAATAGGGGGAGCCGATATCTCAACTCTTGATGGTAATGGACAAACGGCATTAAAAGTTGCATCGGAGAATAGGCGGATGGCGGTAGTCAGACTTCTGGAGTAGACGGAAGTTAATGTCCCTAGCTCTGTCCTCAGCTAGACGAAACGACAAGCATCACGATAGCTATATGGCACTCAATGATGATACAGCGGGTACCCAAATGTTTTCGCGATCCGATTACATAAGAAGGGTTCGAGGACCCGCTGGAGAACCCGCAAGTGAGTAAAGAAAGCAAATGAATGCTTCGAAGAACAAATTTAGAGCTTGTAAATGAAAGAATAAGTACAGGAGAATTAGAAAACAGTATATAGATAGCTTCTAGTACTTGGTATACCATTCCTCTGCCTGAATTACTGCCTCCACCCTTACTGGCATAGATCTCCGAGTCCACAATCTCTCAAAAGGTTCATTTGGAATTGTTTCCCATACTAAAGGCAACACTTCTGCTAGCTTCTCCTTAACCTTTACCGGGCCTTCAGGGGTATCTTTTATATCTTGATATTGCTGTTGAAGACGGATCTTGAGCTCCGTCCATCCCATTTCAATTGGATTTAGATCACGTGAGTATTTGGGATGACTATGCCAGTGTAGGCGATAACCACAACTCTTCAAGTGATTTAGGGTTTCCTCTACAGTATGGACCTAAGAGTTATCCTGCATGAACAGTGCCGGGCCCTCAAGGGTTTGTTGTATCCTGTCTACTACAGGTGGTAAAAGGTACTACTGCAGCAGCCTGAGCAAAATATAGATATGGCGATTGAAGGACTTGACAATGATGAGAGTAAAGGCCCGAGTGCCCCGCTGATTTCTGTAAAAACACCCCCATACCATCATGGTCACTCTACCTGATCGCTGAACAGGATCAATGCAGTCCTTAAACTTAACCATTTCTCCCATGGCGACCTAAAGATCCAAGTCTGGCGGGGGTCTCGTGACTTCTCAACTATGCACTCATCGCTCCAAATCACTTTCCCCCAGTCCTCCAAAAACCAGTTCCAGTGGGCTAATGCCTAAGCTTGGCATTCTTGGGTTTGTTCCGTTGTCAGGGCAATTCGTTTTGTTGCTCTCCATTTTCTGATTTTCGACTCTCGTAGGGCCCGATCAATAGTATGAAGCGAAACATGAGGTGCATACCATCGTCGGGATTCTGCTCTTGTCATTTTCCGCTCACGCTTTGCTGCTCTGACAAGGTATCTCTTATCACGGTCATTGAGCTTGGGAGGGCGACCACCGCGGGGTGCATTGTCTGTATGTCCCCTCTGAATGGCACAGCTCAAAAAACTCTTCACTGTTGATCAAGGTTGTCACATTATCTTCGCTACAGCTGCAACTGTCCCAAAAACCCAAGAGAACGCAATTATCATTCCCTTCTCCTCTGCTGTATCGCCCTCGAAATGTCATTATTGCCTGTTGGCATCTCAGGCGCTCACCCGTCGTCCTCTGTCATGTTCCAACCGCTGCTTATGTAATTGACTCACGAAAACCTTTGGGAACCGGCTTTACAAAATATAGATCAGCACACAGGGACATCTCTTAGTTCGACTATTCCTCTCTCTTTACTTTCTTTGCGTTTTTCCCCATTTTTATTTTAGTTGAGTTATTTGGACTGTTCCAGGTGTCACTTTACTCATTGCTGGCCACTATTTCCTTCATTCACTGTATATCTTCTTCTTTACCTGATAGTAAGTCCACTATATATTCCATTTCATTTATTTCTTTGGGTCTTTCATGTTCTTAGCGAAGTGTGCCGGTGTGACCTATACCCAGTGCTTTCTTTTATAATTTTAAGTCCTATTCTATATCCCATCATGGCTTCTATTTTATATTTCTAGATTGTTCACGAAGGTTATGATCTGTCCCTTGATTGCTTGCTTTTCTTCCTTTGCTAGCTTCATAGTTTCTATGTATATCAGCGAATACGAAGCTCTCCCCTCATAGGGTGTTAGAGACTAATATGTTTTCTTGACATGCTGCAGCTGGAACCAAATGAGTTTGAACAGTACGGGGTGTGATGAAGAGGACTGAATTGATGATGGTTGAAGGGTTCGGTCACGTCCCTGTTAAGTACAAGCTGGGTACGAGTCCCCTTTCCTACACCAGTGACTTGAGCATTACTCCAACAATGAGATGGATAAAAAACCAAAACCATTGCTACACTTCAAGACAGCCGAAATCTTGGTGGGACTGAGATTACAGTTGCACCTCGCTATGGCGGAACTCAATATGCCGGATCCCTTGCTGTCCCGTATGAAATTCCCTGAGAATTCTATTTTTCCGCTGCAAAATCAATTGTTACCCCTGGTTTCTTAGGAATATTTGCTATCCCGTACAAGATTTGGCGAATCTTAGCCATCCGGCATAGCGAGGTGTGACTGTACTAGGGTGTGGGGAAAAGTGATCAGAATCTGATGAGACAAAACACACGTACATAGTATTCACTGCAACATTCACTTATCAGATTCTGATCACTTACCCTCAACACCCGGTACATTATTCTGTGAAACTTGGAATCATCCCGGCCTAACCCTGATCCCACACCATGTGCCCACAACGAACGCACCAATAAGAATCGTTGGGCAAGTGAGGGTTGCAGCCGGATTGACGCACTTCTCGAACTACAGAGTCTGGTAGAATTATTGCGAAAGTGGGTTTTCCGTGACTCGATAGTCCTATTGGCCCTTAAAGGAATTTCTGCAGTGAGCACGGACCAAGAAGCCCACTCTTTTAGTTCTGACTTTCGCAATAATTCTACCAGACTCTGTAGAATAGCCTGCAGCTGCATGCATACAAGTAGGTACACCCCACCTCAGTACCTAGAATAGGAGTACTCCGCTTGTAATTTTGTATATGCTGCTCAGTGACATGGATATTTATATGCCAGAGTCACCCACCATCACTCGTGTTTCCAATTTGAACCTCCCAGTACAGGCCTGGACACATACATATGTACATATACCTGATGGTAGACACGCTCTCCCACAAATACCTAGGCTAGAGCACTTGCGCCCCATCCCGTACATACTTATTACTAGTAGCCCACGTGACCTCGCAACCACGAGGCCGTCTCTCCCCTCCTGAGCATCCCCCCTCCCCTATAGCACCCCAAGGCTCCAATATTTGCCTCTAGCCAACTCTCATCTATATAGTCGCTCATTGCCATTTTCCGCAGTTGACAATATGGCCAGCCCCTATGATCCAGCACCAGCTAGCTCCCAGTTAGTTAATATAATAATAGTGATTGATGCCCCCAGCCAATCCAAGCCACCGTGATATTCTACTTTCCACCTAAGGAGCTGCACCTCCCATAGTATAATTGATCCCCGCATACCGGGCAAGCCAGTGTCATGTTCGCAGCCCGTTCATTTGTGGTGGGTGGGCTGGTTGCCATGGGGGTTAGGGTTTCTAGCTCCTCACTAATCATATGCTCACCTTTGTCGGGGACAGAGTAGAATGGTACAAAGTTGCCTATATAACTTTAGCTGGCAATTATTCAGCGAGCCAAATTCACTCTTCGAGCCTTGGAGCTGTGTCCGGTATATATCATAGGCGCAGGTAGTCAGTCCTTGGCATATATCTGGGTATAAGAGCGCTCTACGTTTGCGCTCATGCTGATCAGCCTGAAACTACATTCCCACATTATGGACCAAAGATGTACGTGAAGCGACCTACTCGCGGATTAAATACCCTAGAAACTAGAGAGATCGAGCGAACTTCTTCCAAATAATAACTTACATTAGGTCCACTGTTTAGATGTTATACATATACATACTTACTTATCCAAAGAAGAGTAGGATCATTCGGGGGCTAGCTAGCCAGCCTGCTGGCAACTAGTCTTTAATCCAGTGCATAATAAATAGACCCCAATAGAGATATACTATACATAAACCATTTATCTCAGCCGTACCGTACATTGTTTAGTGACTATGGAGAGATTAAACCTAGTCCAGCCTGAGGATATTAGTAAACAACATGTCCTTTTGGTTAGTTTTACTATAATACTCTACGATATGTGATGCAAATGATCAGCATCGCAACTACCCAAAATGATACAAGTACACGATGATATTAACTTCCAAGCATAATCTCGACTACCCGGGGCGATATTGGTACTTGAAGATTAATAGTATTTATCCAACCAATAATATTAATAGCTATATAATGATAGCTCTTTAGACATCTCTAGGACCTGATTACTACTAGTGACCAAGCTAGGGATAACAGACAGGGGCCGAGCGCGAACGTCATTTATTCATTTACAGTCACTGTTGTTTTTCCTTTCATCGGTGACGGCTGATTAAATGTTAGGCAAGAGGAGAAAGGGAATTCTTCTCGATCTCGTCTTATGTCCACTTGCGTCTGGAAAGAGGATCTTATCTTTGGAGAGACGGATAGATAAAGTCAGGGTTAGGGTTTGAATGTGTTCTTGAATTGGCGTGTTCGCGTATCGGGTCTCACGTCTGAGAAACGCTTTCAAGATACCTCGAACCTCAATGGGATTAATCGTGACATCCATTATCCCACTCATCTAAGGGTTTTCTAAGAGAACTAAGCCTCGAAACGTTTTTCTTGTGCATCACTTATTGACCACCTTAAGCTCCCGGCCAACATGGATTGCTCAATTGATCAATCAAATATTGGATATGCGTACAACTAATCATAATTCCAACGATCCAACACGGTGATGTTGATGATCACTAAGGGTATATGATATTACATTGAACACTTGTTTTGATATATAGGAAGACACCCAAAGAAGTTTGAATGACGTGCGGACCTGATCGTAAGGATTCGATCATGATTCTCCAGAGGATACGTCAGAGAATTCACGATATATGCGACATCTTGAGCTATAAAAGATGGTTAGATATATGTGCCGCGGAAAGCCGCGCGGTAGGTTATACCACATCCCTAAATTGAATTGTCTTGGTTTGCCCCCCCCCCCCCACAACCCCGTGGTCCCCGCCCTTCTTCCATTCCTGGATGTGACCCGAGAATTTTCACCATTATCATGAACATCCTTTTGGAAGCCGGAGCTATATCTAATAAGTATATAATTATAACCT